ACTGTTAACTGCGAGAAAAACCGTTTATTAACTGCTTTCACCTAATACGGTTAAACAACCAGAACTTTATCGAACCAACTAAACCTTCCCAATGAAGCCACTTAGTTCCTTGCAGCTGGGTACATATTATAGTCGAGAGGGCTAATTTGTCAATCTCATGAGCGAACGGGGGCTCAAGTCCCATCGTTGACACAATATTTTCTCCATTCCCTTCAACACATGAAGAATTTCCAATGTCCTGCACAACTAAGTTTGTGACCCTGGACTATTAGAATACGTTACTCCCATTGCCAGATAGATGGCAGCACCATAAAGCTGCTTAATACAAAAAAGTCCAGTATTTCCTATCTCTTACGATAGGTGAAATAACCACATAAACTAATTAAACCACATTCCCCGGTTCATTTGATGAAACACTCAACCCCAACCTAACTCCAATCCAATTATACAACGAAAATTTTCAGCTAAATATCTTTCTTTTTTTCGGTTTTGAAACCATGCTATGGTTAAAAAACCGTATAGTTTTGTACTCATAGTAAACGGTTAGCGGTAAACGGTTTCAATAGCGTATCGTTAAAAACTTTTTTTTAAATATTTTTTAATTGTACACTTTACTGTTAATGGGATGGATAATTTAAGAATGAAAACTTTAGCAGTGTAGTAGTATATGCTGTAAATATAATGTAACATTTGTTATACAATAAAATTGAAATTTCACTGTTACTTTGTCATAGAGCCCTACTACTTATTTACTTAAAGAATTTCTAGTTTTCTTAACTTATCCTTATGTACTATGGTACTGAAACTTTAAATCATATCGTCTCTTGGAGATAATTGTTTGAATGACATTTTATTTAACTTCTTGGCTGTTTATCCTAGGTAGATCCATCAAAAATTCCAACTGCTGCTGATATTATTGATATTTTTGTTTTAAATTTTAATTTGTCATATGTGGTCATATAAATTATGGAAGCTTTGAAGACCAATACTATTAAGAATCATTCAGTGCATTGAAGCGCAAATGCTCTTTATTGAAGGTTGGACTCACTGGTCCATAAATCCATTGAGTAAAACGATTTATGGATTGTAAAGGTCTCTGAAACTCGATATTTATTCAATAGAGAAATAAATAAGAATTAATTCTGTAATGTAGCAACAACCCTGCTTAGTTCATCAACAACGGAACCTACAGACCCTGCTTTACAACAAACCCTTCTTAAAAATTCCACGAATAATATTCACTTGTAGTAAGTGGACTATCATTTTCACTATCTTTAGCAAAGTATGAAAATATTTCTTTTTCTCATTTTGATGTGAACATTATTGGGTTCTAGTATTTAAAACTGAAGAGTATAATTTTGTGCGATTAAAACCATTATTTATCAAATGTGCATGATGTATTGTCTTATATTGTGCGATTCTTACAATCAGTATATGGATTTTTCTTGATTTTTTATGTGTGAATTTAGAAGAAGCACAACGAATCATTACTAACATCTCAAGAAAGGAACTCTTTTTTATCTAGATTTTAAAGCGTTGTGAACTCTCTTTGTTTCTTTCCATTACAAAAACTCCCATTTTTTACAAACATATTTTAAATTAGAGAAAAATAAAATTTTATTTTAATAGTATTATTCAACTGTCTATATGCTATCATAATATACTATTAAGTAAAATAAAAAAATATATTGCAAATTGACATTAAGGTTTTTTAATTACTGTAATTAGAATATTTTATTTCTATTAACTTAAGAGGGCGTTATACAACCGGAAAAAATCTTCATGACAAATTTTCTTTCATATACATTAGTAATTTAAATTTAAAATAAAGAAAAGATGAATTCAGATAAATCAAGAATAAATGATGAAGTTCCAAAAGCTGTTTTATCTTCTCCTTCGAAATATCGAATTGCATCAAGCGAATTTTATGACAGGATTACTTTCTTACTCCAAAGATTACAGGATTACTTTATTACTCTAAATATTAGCTGATAATTCTCTAGTAATTTCTTCGCAATCGGATATTTAGAAAAAAAAAGTAGCATTTGAAACTTATAAGTTTACCTTTGTTTTATCTGAACTCATTTATTTCTATACTTTAAATTTCAAATTATTAATGTAATTGAAAGAGAATTTGCCATGAAGGGTTTCTCCCGCAGATTAAAAGCCCTCAAAATAAAATGTCTTTAAAGAAATTTTTTACATATATCATTTATAGTTGTTTTCCCCTTGTGTTAAAATTAGGTAAATTTTGCAGACACATTTTTTTTATAGAATGTGTTTACATTAGTGTTGTTGAGTTTATATTCTACTGAAATAGCACTGTCTTTACACCTTAAAGATAACCTTTATGTCTTTTTAATTAATTAATAATATTTATTTATAAGAAAAAGATTATAGTTTTTGGAGTAAACTATTTTATAAACAGGTCCTTTTTTGACTGGTTTCTCATTTTCGCATGAACTAATTTTTTTTAAAAATAAATAAACAATCAAAAGTATGACATGTCTAAGAATTTGATTTGTATTTTAAACAAATAAAATTATTATTCTCTATAATTCTAATTTTTTTTTTTGATAACGGAAAATAGTTTATTTGAACTAAATAATTTAATCGAATTAATCTTGTCTCTTAGAAAATTTTTAATAATATTTATTATTCCTTTGAAATTAGATTTCTCCAAATTTATATTTACCCATAGTTTCATTTAAATATGAATAACTAATTTGAAAAGATTAATTGTTTAGGGACAAAATAATGTTCTCCGAGGCCATCAAGCAAATAACAGATTGAAAATGTATAAAAAAAATAAGAAGAAAACCATGGGGATATTTTTTCTTTTGAAAAGATCACACCAGTCATTAAATTATATTTCCGATGTTTGCTACATCCCTGCTAAACATGTTAAGCAAATTATTTGTGCGATTAAAATAAAGAGCGATTAATGTCAAACTTCAAATTTCTTTTAACTAATGAACGAGGTTTTTAGATTTCTTGGTAAAAATATTGCGGTTTTCTGTCTATTCTTGAAATCTTGGGTTTTGATTCGTTTGTTCTTATAAAAAAGATTAAGACTGAGTTCAACCAATTACACAGCTGTTCTTTAAGCATTGATAGTGATCCTTCTTAGGTTATATTAATTTTTTTTTAATATTGAGAAATATGATATGTAAAATTACAAGAAAAAAAATTAGGTTAATAAATTTTGTTTTTCTTTCTCTATATTAATAAAATCGTAAGCACCACCACTGCTTTGGGTGTTCAGCTTAATGTAACATATTATTTTGCAGTGTTAAATCTAAAAGACTAACTTGAAATTATGATGGTGTGTAGAAAATTTATAAAGTGTACAATGAAATATTAAAATATTCGATAATTAGTTTGAAAACTATGACTACAGAAAAACGCATCATACGTTGATGGAGTGCAACGATGGATTTGAAATTTGATATTCTAAAAGAATTATGTTTTAATATGAACTTAACACCAGTTTTTTCTTCTTCTTTTTCTTAAAAAAAATTCCAATTTTTTCCAAAGTTATTACAATTTCAGTGCTTCTTTCAAGAATTCTTTTCACGCTTTTTTTGTTTTACTTTACGCTCGGTTTACCAGCGCAAAAACTATAAAATAACTTAAAATTACAAAGTTTTATAGAAACATGCAAAAAAAAAAAAAAAAAAAAAAAAAAAAAAAAAAACTAAATTGTAAAAAAAATAACATTAGATATAGTTCGTGAAATATTAACTGTTAATTTCGAAGGAAAAAAAGATATATCACGTGAACCATTTTTCAGTTTGTAAAAATGCAATTACAAAGTTGAAATTTGACGAGAGCTGAAATGTCTATTTTCATTTAATGTGAGTTTGATTTAAGTTGAGTTTTTACTTAATGTGAGTTTGTTTTTTCGATACTTCAACAATGTAAAGTGCCTTTTCGCATTTTTTTACTTCATTTTCTTTAAATAATAACTATATATCCATAGTTTTAGAAACATTTAACTCTCTCGCGATCTTTATTTTATTACCTTGCGCTTATGATGTCAAAAGAAATAAGACTTGTTATTAAAAAAAAATAAAGAAAAGAATGAATAAGCATAATAAAAAAAAGGAAAGTGAAAGGTAAAAAGTGACCAGATTAACATTTGTATCAAAATTTTTAATAAAATAAAAGGCTCAAGAAAGATTTCTGTTTCGAATTCGAACTGCTATATGATACTAAGTTATCGTTAAATGTTGTTATCAAGTAAATTTTTTCTCATTCATGATTTTTAATTGTGTCTCACGTTTTTTATTTTTAAGTTTAAAGTTTTTTTTTCCAAGTAAATTTGATTATGTTTCAAATATGGATATTCTTTCATGTCATAACGATTAACTTATTTACAAAATGTTCAAACAAAAAAGCATAATAACTAAGTATTTTAGAAGCAATATGATATTTTTAATCGACTTTGAAGAAGAAAAAAATAATGATGAATGAGGGGTTTGGTGAGGGAGGCGGACAAGGGGCGAAGTCTTTTAGAGCTATTTAGAGCTGGAGTAAATAAAACACATAAAAAAATTAAATTCATGAAACTAATAAAATTTTGAAAAGAAAAAGAAACTTTAAAGAATGGGAAATAAGAAAAATGTTTTATTAAATAGTTCCATTTATCCATTTCTTCAATATTTATAGATTGGTAATCTGCTTTAAAATTTCAAATTTTGAAAAAACCGTATACATACATAAGATCAATAATACAAAACACTAAAGAACTGTGTTAAGTTTTTTATTACTTAATGATCAGCTTTTTTATACTTAGATTTCAGAATTTTTTTCATTCAGCTTTCAGCGCTGTACAGATTCTCTTTATATCATGGGCTATGAAGATGTAAGGATTATTTAAGAAAAAACACTTCGATATTTTACAAGCAGGGTCGACCGAATATGGGAAGCGGGGGGAAAAATGAACAAATAAGATTGTTTATTTGTTTATAAATATTTTCTGGAAAAATAAGTTCTCAAACTTCATTATAAAATTTTATTTGCTTAAAGACATGTATAAGTCAGCTAATTAGAACATAGGATACTTTGATGACAGCTTTTTAGCACGAATTATTTTAACACTAAATAAACTTCCACGAAATGAAAACATTTCTTCACCAACCTGGCGATCATTACAACTAACCAGTGCGTGTATGAGTGTGGGAATCCTAGGGGCAATCTTCTTAACTAGATGCTTCTGAAAATAATATAAGGATGTAATCAATAACGGAGGAAAGAAGCCAATTAAAACAAAATGCAAATTAAATAAATAAATAAATGGAAGGATGTATATTCTAAGAATATTTTATATCCATTTTTGCGCATTATAAATGTATTTCATGTATTTCATTTATTATAAAACTTTACTAACTCAGTTAAAAAAAATTTGTCCTAAATCTTCGATTGGGTAGTCCCTTTTATCGAATGCCAGGGGCCGTTGATCCGTTCACTCCCCATCACTGATTTATTTTCCTCAGACCTCTTAAAAACCAACGTATAACTGGTTTTTGAAGCCCAAACTTTTTTTTTTTTTTTAAGAGAATAACCAAAGTTACTTCTGCGGCGTCTCCAAACTGACGGTATTATAAAATATTTATGGATATAAGTAAATATTACTCAAATTTATGACTTTTTCTGAAAGTTTAATCATTATTTTGATGCTTGTAAGAAGCTGCAAAGAATCTCAAAATAAAAATCATAATTGCATTCCTTGTACGGTTTGCTGTAAAAATGTTTAAAAAATAAGCTAAGTTTTTATTTTATTTCTCGTCTCGAAAAAGTATTTCTTTTTTCCTGTTCATCGCCTCCTCCTCATTGATTGTAAGCATGTTAAATATTTATATTTTTCTAAACATGTTAAATATGTATTTTACACAACACAAGTTTATTTGATTAAATTATTTTAAGTTGAATATAATTTAGCCGATTCGTGATAATACTAAGTTACATAACTATAACAAAATTTAGTTTATTTAACAACATTAAAGCCATTTTTAATGGTTAATAAGGAAAAGAAAGATAAGGTTAAAATGATTAGGAACGGGAAAGAGAATCTTTATCATTTAAATGTTTGAATTTCAAATGTTTTTTTTCTTTTTTCTTTTCTTTTTTTAATTCTGCATAATACAACAACGTACAATTAATTTTAACTTATTATACGCTGCCCCATAAGTTAATTTTCTTCCTGAATAAAAATAATAAGGAAAAATGAAAGACAGATGATAAGGGAAATAACGAAATACTGGGTGTAAGCGTTAAAAAAGTATTTAAGTTTAAATTTGTAAATTACTCAATACTTCTCTTTGCAATTTTTCGATATTGCTCTCATTGATAAAAATGAAAGATAAAAAAAAAAAAGAGAAAATAATACCAACTTACTGATTAAAATGTTTAAAATGGTATTTTAGATTTCATTTGGCTCCATTGAAAAGAGAACAAACTCATCTTATCTAAAACATCAAAAAAATATTAACAATTCATAACTTTTTTTTATTAGGAAGCAAATATCACATCCAATTCACATGTCTCAAAATCAGTGAAAGTTTTATTTTTTATTTTTTTATTCGAATAAAAAAAAGTATAAAAAGGTGAGGAGAAAGGAATATAAAAAAAAAGCTTAACTCTTATGTTATCAACCGACTAAAAATGAAATAAAAAAAGAGGGTGATAAAAAATAGCAGATAAAAAAAAGGGGGGAAATAAACTCTTGAAAAAAATCATTGAAAAAAGTGCGATCCAATCCTTCCTGGTGTGCGAGAAGCTGTGCCAATGCCCCAAACCAAGGCCGATTGCGAGCATTGCCTCATAGAGACCGTTAACCCCTTGAAGCAACAACACGTGCCCGTTATGTGTGGCAGTCGGCAAAGAAGCTCAAATTTTTTTTCCAATTTTTTGTTGTTTTATTTGAGATGTATCTAATATTCGACCTTGGTTTATATTTTCAGACGGCCTTGTCCCCGTCTTGATGATGACCGCCTGTGGTAGTGATTACGAAAGGGTAGACGAATTTTTTTTTTCTTTTCACTTGTGGAAAGCGGAAGTAAATTTCGCTTTCATATGTGAAAAAAATGAAGCATGGAAAGCAATTTTTAACTTTTTTCTTCTCCATTGTTCAATTTATTTCCTTCTCTTTTTATTTACTGATTGCGAAATGATGTGTTTCTTGCCTTTAACACGCATCCTATCAGTTTTTCAACTAATAAAAATTTTAGAAACAATAAGCAGTATTTTTGAAAAAATAAAATTGTTTGCAAAAAGGGAATTGAGTATTTAAGTGCTTTACATTGGTTTTTTCAAGTAGTATAAGTTTTAAAACGATAAACGGTGTTTTTGGAGGGAAAAAAAAGATTGCTGACATAAAACTCTATATTTTTATAATCTTTTTTCTTAATAAGTTTTCTAGCTAACATTATTATTAAAACAATAAGCAGTATTGTTGTCACAAAAAATTTAGCTGAAGTTACAGTTTAGCTGCAAATTTTGAATGAAGATTCATTAATTTGAAATTTTAAAGTAACATTTAATGCAAAACAAATAGTAATTTTAAGGAATTAATTTATTGAAATTAAAAAAAAAAAATGAAATCATCATTGCGGAGGGGGGAGTAGCTTTTCGTTGCTGTTTTTGATCAAATAAAATACCCATTGTTCATAGTAAATATAATTAGTGACTGTGATAAGATGCTTTTTCGGGGAAATGGCAACATTCTGGAGGCATAATTACTTAAAAATACATCCTACTTTAGTTAGTTCCTCCACTATAGTATAAAATACATCTTTAGCCACTTAATCATCATCTTTAATAATAAACACATTGTTATCAAAAATTTCAAAAATGAAGTGATTTTCAGTCACTTTAAAGTTTAATGCACATCGAAAAGTTGCCTGATACGCATATAGAAATTTGCACGATATCATGTTTCAAAGTACCAATTACGTTCTAATTTGAATCAGTTTTTCCTGAGAATGTAGTCAACATCTATTTTTTCTTCTTCATATATTTAAGAAGTTTTATTAAAGCTTTTCTCATAACGCAAATTTTACTTGAAAAATTTATCTAAATTGGAAAATTAACATAAAATAAAATCAATTAAGTATTACGAATGTCTGTTACATCACTTTAACTTTTTCTTACCAAGTTAAACTTACTACAAAGCATTTGTTTATATTTAACCAACTAATAATTTAGTTAAGTTTTACGTTACGTTTGGTCTAAATAATTATCTTATTTATTTAATTATTTTTTTATTTATTTCATTATTCTTGTTTATTTATTTGTAAGAAATTATCTTTGAGGGAATTCTTAAAATAAATGCAAGTATACATTTTAGAAGAGTTAATCAATTTTTAATTCTATGTGTATTTTTAATAAATCAGTTTCTTAAATAATTCATTCATTAAAATATATCGCTCATGGACTGCAATAGCGGTACAACTCAAAAAATCATGTTTTGAGATAAGTGGGTTTAAAGTTTTCATTGCTAAGGAAAATGCACAAGAAATGTTTTAGTTTGTATAAACGAAGATTACCTTCAAGTTGAATGATGAGTTGTGCTAGTATTGCTGCTGAAAGGAGTGTGTATTTTCATATTTACATCTGTTCTTAGACCAAAGCGCGTGTTTTTTTTTATAGTTGTGCCACTATTGCAGCCCATGAACGATATGCTGAATTTTAAAATTCAGCATTGATGTAACTATATTTCTCATGGATTTAGTATAGAATATTCATCCATACAGCTGATGGATTCATAAAGGTGGGAATTCTGAAAGAGTTAGAAGGAAAAATGGTTACATAAAATGTGCAACACATTGACGTAACTCATAGGTAGGCAAGCTTGGTTCAAATAACACAAGTTGCAGATGAGAGGGGGAAAATGTCTAACTTTGTTTTACCCGCCTTATAGGCAAAAATGTTGACCCACTTTGGGCACCCCAGCCTAAAGTCTAAATTTGACTTACCTCGAAATAGTCTGAAATGAGGAGGGATCGTTGCAGCGTACAGGTCAAAGGGTTCTTTTTTTTTTCTCCAGCTTTACCTTCTTAGGTTTAGAGGGAAGAATCAAACCTTCCGCTTACCTGGCTACAATCATGTTGGTAAACTCCTGGTGGGTCGGCTGTGGTTTACGAAGGTGGAAACGATAGGGGTTCGAATTTTATTTATTTTTTTATTTATAAGTAGATAGCCAACAAATATGTGTAGTAAATTTTTATCATGCAATATGTTTTTATTTATATTATTTTAATAACTGGAATGCAAATACTTATTATTTCTTATTATTTTATAATACATGAAAGTTTTATTTATTTAGGTATCAATTACCTATTGAATTCAAAAATTTAAGCATAGATGTTTTAGAGCTAAATTGCTCTATTATCATATGTATTAATATATCTGGTTGGTAATATTTTAATAAAACTTTAATTAAATTGCAGTTATGATCTGGTCTAAGATTGAGTGCACACTGAAAATTGTGCTGCGATTGTGCACAATTTAAAGCTTTGATTTTCGCTCTGTAACACAAATACTTTGTTAAATCATAACATGAAAAAAAAAAATTGGAATCGTATTTTAAGCGGCAAGCATGTGCTTTAAGTTCTAATTGTAATATTTAGAAGAAATTGCTTGAAGAATAGAATTTAATTTTTACTGAATTATATAAGGATAAAATGCTTTTAAAATATTATTTGTCGTAAATAATGTGCCGATCAAGAATAAAAATATGTTTTAAAACATTTTGAAAAATAATTTATTTTTTTAAATTTAAGAACTATTTTGTAGAAAATTGTGGAAAGTGACTAAAGAGAACGTACAAATAAGCAAACATTATTCATATGGAAGAGAGAAATTCAAATTTATACAATTACCACAATTCTTTGACAAATATTATAATGTTAGACAGCTTAAAACTTACTTTCTGAGAAAGAATAAAATATTCATGTTTAACTTTAGTTCATGACTTTAAGTTTCAAATGTAATTTAATATTTACTATTCTCTGACAAATGAAATATGTTAAAATGCTTCGAAGTTTATAATAAAATGTTTATTTTTCATATGCTAGAGATTTGAACATAATAACTTGATGATAGTTTAAGAGACTAAGTAAAAACCGTTTCAAATAAAAGTAATAAAATTATTTTCTGTATAAATTTTTTTATATCGTTTTTAGAGAATGGATTTAGAAAATAAAAAAAGCACTGTTCAGCTATTAATCAGAGTTGCATCTGTTGACATGCAATTATTCAATAATATTTAAGTTAATTTAAACGTATGAAATGTTAGTACCACTCAAATTGTACATTGCTAGCTTGCTGGTTTAAAATGATGCAAGCATATTAATTTTAGAACGATTCAAGATTTACACACACGTTGAAAAAAATTCTGGTAAAATTACACTGTACTGTATGGTAATCACATTTCTAGGAAAAGAAATAAATAAACAAAAAAAGCATAATTATAGTAAAAAATGCCAAAAGATGCCGTATTAAACCACTCATTTGGTAATTTTTCCTTTCATATGGTAACAGTTTATTAGTAATTCTGGTTTTTAAAATTATAGCTCTTATTATACCTCATTTAGTAAATACATAATTGAAAAGTAAATTTGATCAAATAAATGGTTTTTATGTAATTTTTTAAGGTATCATAATAAAATTATCAAATTTGAACACAATTACCAAATTTTATTGCAGATTATAGAACCATCTTTAATTTTTAGTTTTATCAAAATTATTACCAAAGCACTTTAATAAAAATTACCGAGCTCTTCGGTATTCCCATTGAGATAGAAATGCGGTAAATTTTACCATATTCTGGTAGTTTTGACAATACTTTTTTTTCTCTGTGTGGTATCAGTCTCCTTTTCAGTTTTTTTTCTCAAGGCATCATGATAAAATTACCGAATTTTACCGCAGTTTTCAAATTTTATCAGCCATTATAAAAAAATATTTTATTTTGTAATTATACCAAAATTATCACCGTAAAGCTTCGATAAAAAGTACCGAGCTTTTTGGTGTTTCCATAGAGCCAGAAATGCGGTAAATGTTACCGTATTCGTATAGTTTTAACCATACTTTTTTATCAATGACAAAACGTTTTTCCCCCCACTTATTTATACACTTTCAGGGATTAAGAAGAGGTAAATACCACAGTTTTAGCTATTTAAAGTTCATATATTATAGCAGCCATTCTGCACCAAAGTAATTTTGAATTTTTCCTGTAAAGTTTACAATGTTTTTTCTTTTTTTTTTCTTACTAAAAACTGTTAAATTTATTTACACGTTTGAATTATAATGTAAAAGTATTAAAATTATTCCCAAATAAGAAATAGTTAGAACTGTTTAGATTTAGTTTGTTTACTTTTAATTTATAACATAAAAATATTAAAATTATATTTAAATAACAAGTAATAGATTTAGAGACTGTTTAGATACGATCTCCATGTTTAAAATATAT